AAGACCTACTAGTGGCGCTCTCCAATTGCCTATAATACCCCCTCTCCCCCTTCCAACCTCCCCCGGCCTCCATTGATATCAAGCCACAAGTCACATGGTGCAGCAGCTCTTAGTTCTTTACGAAAATAAAAGTAAATCGATACAATAAAGGCCATTTAGTGTACAAGAAAACCAGGACAACAGACAGACAGAAATAACAGCGGGTAAGAAAACAAATAGGACCTACCAGTCGCGCCTTACAGACCCCCCCCCCCCCAAACCCCCAACCCCTCTAATCTTACAAGATTCAATTCTTCTTCTTTTTTTAAACCCACAGTGGGGACGAGAATTTTGTTTCTTAAGCACATGGAAATCGATAGAAGAAACTGCTCACAACCAAGCATGCTAACCAGAGAGTTTACAGTGTAAATTTCTCTGATACTAACTAATCACGGCTTCTATACGAGTTAGACACAACACCCAACAGTGACATGCTTGATGCGCGGCGCAGTGGCAAACAAACATTATCACATGTTCCTATTCTTCAGCAAATGAATAGCACTATGAAAAAAAAAAAAGATTCTTGAAAAGAAGCACAATAAAATACTTATAGCGGTGACAGGGAAAAATGACAACATATTGCAAGCTGGTCTCTACAGAGAAAAAAATTAAGGCGATGTCAAGAGAGAAAAAATCTAATGCAATGTCATGAGAGAAAAAAATGCGATCTCAAGAGAGTAAAAATGCGATCAAATGCGGTGAACGAACCTCAAACCTCACATGCTATGAGATATGCGGCCGTAACATTTTCTAAAAGTGTGATTTACAACAAATACTGACAAATAATAATTATAAAAGATTATGTGTTTTACAACATAGTGTGAACAATCCATAATATCATTTCCTGGGGATTAAAATAATCATGTTCCACAAAGACAAAGTACAACAAATAGCGGCTCGTTTTTGTATATCGAGTTGGGGTTTTTTAAGCTGCATCTTGAGTTGACACCGTGGACTGCCATATTCCTGTTAAGTTTTTTTTTCTAAAGATATCCTCTTCAACAATTTTGAGCACCTAATGTTATATCATATTCTTCTTTCAAAGAGAAGAGAAGATCATAGTTCACTTTATCTATATAATATGTACACAAAAATATGCACGCACGCACGCAAACACACAGACAGACACACAGACAGACAGACACACACACACACACACACACACACACACACACACACACACACATACACACACACAGTAAGTATCTAAAGTCGTCTGTGTGTTCTACTGTAAAACAGCCCATGGGAAATCAAGACACAGCTTTTAGAAGAAAAGTGCCGGAGAACCACTTACGCTTGATGGTAACATTAACTGCGTCCGTGGCTGAAAGGAGGAATGCGGAACACATTACCGTAAATCCAAACAAAGGTGTATGAAATGCCATTTACTCTTTCGCAGGACAATCCAGCATAACTTAAAGACTAAGGTTTATTAACTAGAAAAAACAAAAACAATCAACAATCCAATTCCATTAGAGTGTTAAAACACGCAACTGAGAACTGGCATTTAAAAAAAACTAAAACATTCAATGTCAACAGTGCAGTATTACTTACAGGGTATCAAAGATCCAACTAAAATCCCAAACTCCAGCACTGTGGTTTCGGCACTCATTTCAGCTTGCGGCATATATTTGTCGAGTGATGCAATTTTCGGGGAAATAAATCCGAAGAGATTTTTACAATGTTCTCAGTGCCTTCTAACGCGACATACATACGTCCGGTTTCGTCTCGCTCCAGATTTCGGGGTTTAGTACTTTCGTCCTTTTGGGTTATCAGTTTGATAGGTCACAAACGTTTACCGATTCCATTTTCATTTCAGTACTACAGCGGGGAGGGGAAAACCCCTGATTAACTCTCTTAGCACCATAAATAGGTCAGCAGGTCAGCGTAGCAGAACCAAAATGGCGGCCGGCTGGTGGTTTCCCAGAACCGAATTATTTCAGTGTTTTTCAGAGGTTCAGGGCATGAAGCATAGAAATTGCTTTTGCTTTTGATCTAAGCGACTATTTCAATGAAATTTCACATACAAAGACCTAGGACGTCAGCATCTAAATTTAAAGTGGACGGTTCTTATTTCTAAGCCTGCACTAAAGGTAGGAGTGTCAGGCCGGTATGGCTCTACCGCGGGAAAGCCGGTAAAAGCCGGTATGGCAACATGACGGGAAGGCCGGGGTAGGCCCGTAAGGCTCAAAGAGGGTTATCAGCCTAGAGAACAAATCTGGGTGAGATGACATCACCACCAAAACAATAAAGGACTGAAGGACCTCGGTCGTCTATGGCTAGAATAAGTCTTCAACTACAACATGGAAACAAACACTTGGGTACGGTGAGACGGCTTACTGGAAATGGAAAAGTTGTCTCCCGCTTTTAATTTGATGTAAAATCAGCTCTAGAAGTATTGCCAGTTTTGTTTATTTTTAATGTAGACGGTTTAATACATATATACGAACTATCCTTTTTTTTTCATCGCCTGTTACCTTTTCCATTCCATAAAGAGAATAAAGTGCCCCCCCAAAAAAAAAACCCAAAAAAACAACAACAACAACAACGTTAGAAAATTGGGTGAACCCAACATCTTTGTCGGTAATATCGCCGCTTTTGTTTTACACAAAAAATACACACCTTCATGTTTGCAGCGTGTTAAACCAGTTGAACCAGAGCTGCACTATGGCAGGTTGTTCGTTTCGTCCACGTTTTATGTTTGTGTTCGATTGTCGAAACTAAAGACTGAGAGCCGAACCGAAATCGAAATCGAAACCACTGGGTTTTTGGGGCCTTATCTGTCACACTGCCCATCTTTCAGGATGTGAAATAGGCAAGTGGGGAAATATACTGCTCCTGCACTTCTATTTTTTTTTTTTAATTACTCCAAAATACTGACATGTGTGACATATAAACTTTTAATCATTTATCAAGTTCAAATGAAACTTTGTTCATTATTTTTTTATTTTATTTTTTTTTTTTGGGGGGGGGGGGGTCTAAAACAAATCAAGGTAATAGACAAGTGAGGCCCTAAATGTCACAAGAATATTGAACATGTTACAGGCACTAATCAGTTACAGTGAACAAAAAAAGTACATGTGCACGTGAAAACAGAATAAAAATTAATCTGGAGTATTCTTTTGAAGGCTATCTCAAAACTATGTTAAACCAAACTGAAATTATTCTTTAAAAAAACAAAAACAGAAATTATTTCTCAAAAACAACAGTAAAAAAAAATAATAACATGTGCGTGTTTTATTGAACAAAAACGTACAGATCACAAGACTTGCGTTGAACAGAACTGACTTCTTTAATAGACTATCGACAATGCAAACAACCGGCCTCTTCTATGGTATACCACAAAGATAAGAGAGCATGCAATGAAGTGTACAGCACGGAGTGGACAGAACAGAAGACTAAACCAAATCAGCTCATTGAAAATGAAAGAGAAATCAGGAGAAAAATAAAACAAACTCAGATATCATTAGACAAGAAGGCACCTCAACAAAATAAAGCGGATAAAGAATAATCATATAAAGAAAGAAAAGTACGATGACAGTTTTGTAATATTTTCACGAAGGGGAATCGTTCCAGAAGAATGGTCTCTAACGTTCACAGTAGAAGTCACAGAACAACTCTCTCGAAAATATAGAGATAGTCAAGCCCATGCCAGAGTGTCCTCATGCCCTGCTGACCAACAATAGACTGAGTATAAAAACAAAACAAACCTACAGTTGAGCTGGGTCACAGTGACCGTCTCAAGGACAACCGCTAGGGACACACCAAGCATAAGTTATGGACTCTCTCTCTCTCTCTCTCTCTCTCTCTCTCTCTC